ATTAACATACCATAATGGAAGAGAAGATTCAGACTGAGTTAGTGAATCCATATACTTATATTTTTCTTATCTCTATAGTAACAAAAGGTTGTTGTATAGCTTATCACTTATATTATATGGTGGCCAAAACAAATTACTAGAGTGGTGATACAATTTCTGTTTAATGGCCTGCCTGCAGAGAAAGATTTTGTTTATGAAGAACCACTATACATGCCTAGTTCATTATAATCTTTAGTCTCTTAAAAATCTGCATCGACAATAAACTATTTGTTCAATGCTCTGTTTGTTTGCTCTGTTGTGTCAGTTGGCTTTAAGGGCCAGGCATCCAGTCACTTGGTAATAAGCATCATGAAAATCTCAAATGCAATGGCTTTCATCAGAATGTATGAATAATGAAATGGTTATGTATCTTGATGACTCATCAAGTCATCTAAAATGGTCATCCAGTTTTGCTAACCTTGATACGAAGTAGATTTTTTTTATAGAACTGTCTAGTAAAATATAAATGATGTAATTATTTACCTATGGCTTGGCAGTTCAGCCTAGGAACAAATATGGTATCCATTTGTAATAACCAGGGTATGCCAGTTTGTGATAACCAGGGTATGCCGGTTTGTGATAACACATGCTGACAAATGAAGAACACAAGACTTGAATCTGTGGATAAATGTCTTCATGTCAGGAGGTCACCAACATAAATATAGGTAGGTTTTTCTTTACTGGAAACTTTGGAATAAAAGGACTGGATCTCAAAAGTTTGAAATAAATAATATATTTTTATTTATTTGCTTTAGAGTCATGAGTGAGTTTTTTGATATTTGGTGTCACAAAATGTTCATTTATAAGGTGGATATTGGTAGTATGCTTGGAGAAACAAGAAGTGGTAGTTTTGAAGTCAGACCATGGTAGTGTTAGTAATAATATTAGAAATAGGTTAGTGTCAATCTACTGTGTTTTTCTCAGCCTTAAGCAGGGCAGAAATATCATTAGCAGATGACCTCTTAACTGTTTCTTTACTCGTTACAAATGGCCGGTTTCCTCACAGTCATGTTCTTTTGTTCCATCCTCTCCTTTTCCTTTCTAGCTCAGAAGTCTCAGCTTATATTCTTTTGATCTGGCCCTTAGCCCTTGGCATGATCATTGGTTTCATCAAAAGTCTCTTTGTTACATTTTTTTTTTTTTGATTAGCCAAAATTATTTTATTTTATGGCAGAAGTATGTGGGGCCTCCCTGATTTTTGGTATTTTTCAGTCACAAATAAGTCGGCTCTGATCCTGCAAACATCCTGCATTTTTTGTCCAGGTTCAGTCTTTTCTTCTTCTTCTTCCTCAGAAGTTCAGAGAGAGAGAGAGAGAGAGAGAGAGAGAGAGAGAAAGAAAGAAAGAGATATAAGTGTTTTAAAGAAAAGTGCAAATGCGCTACTAGATTGGTGTCTTGGTCCCACCCTTTCTCTGTTAAAACAGTTAAATGTAGCTGTCTCTTCTACTCCAACAGCTTCTAATCTCATACTTCCTGACAGTTGAACTCCCTTCCTCTTACTTGCTTCCCTGATAGCCATAATTTTAAAATATTCAAATGTAAAATCAATCAACATCTTCTGATGCCTTCATCTTGATCCCTGTCCTTCTCTTTATCCTTTCCTCAAACACCCCTCTTTACTCTTGCTCTCACTCTCTGTAACCTCTTGTGTACTAGTGGCACTCCCACCTTGCTTCAGGTGATATGCTTAAAAAAAAAATACTACATGTTCCCTCTGCTTAGAATCAAAGTGTTACTCGCCAGTCCTCTGCATAAGATCAGAATGTAGTATCTGTTCAACTGCTTTGTTCTTGTAGTACAGTGCATGGCATGGTGCAAGGTTCTTGTCTTAGGCAATTCATAGCTTGGCAATGAATGAATTCTGATCTCGGAGTCCCAATCTTGTAGCAGCAAAGAGGGAAGGTTATAGTACCATAATGGCTAACCTTTGCTCTTGGCCCATGGCGACCCAATATGAAACTGGGCACATTTTATAGGAAGAAGGTGTAGATAAATATTTTTAAAGAAAATAGTATCAGTGCACCACAATAGGTATATATATATATATATATATATATATATATATATATATATATATATATATAATAAATCAAAAAAAATTAAGATCCATTTTGGTTATAATTTATTTCATGAATATTGCTATATTCATCTCTTCAGACCAAAAATTCTTAATAGAGATGAATATAGCAATATCACAAAATAAATTATAACCAAAATGGATCTTTATTATTATTATTATGCTCTGTAATTTACATTGAGCTCTATTTGGATTAATATCCTGCTTGGAATTATCCCTACCAGTCACAAATTGGTATTATATATATATATATATATAATGATATAAAAGGCTCGGACACTAATATTTCATGGTTATAATTTATTTCATTGGGTTCATAATAATGACCCAACTCTTAAGACCTACAAATTCAAAAAGAAAACAAAAAATATATCTCCAGGTTTAAATAACAAAATTTCTGTGACAATGTATATGTGGGAGTGGGGGAAACAAGGATGAGAGAGAAGGACATGCATGAAAGATCTAGAGTGAGGTGGAAAGAAAGACAGAAGAACAGGAAGGAATCTAGTGTGAGAGTGAGGAATAAAATTTTAAAGAGAGAAGTTAAATTAATGGTTTTAAGGTGTGAGATTTAGATGAATACAAGTTATTGTCAGTTGCATAAATTGACTTACAATTTGTTGACCTAAATTCAAAAACACAGACAACTGAAAATTATGAATACATTTGTAGTGGCATTAGATACAAAAGAAGTGGGGAAAGAGCTGTTAAGGGAAATCATTGAATGATCCAAACTTTTCATCTAGCTAAACATTTACGACACTGATGTATACATGAAAATTTGTCACTGGGTTCCATTTACTAAACTTATGTATATATGAAAGGAGGAAACGAGCGTGAGGGAGAGAGAGAGAGAGAGAGAGAGAGAGAGACAAGGAAAAAATGTTAGAAAGCAAGAAGAAAGAGAAATAAATGGAGATATTTGTGCTAGAGTTAATATCAGACATTTCAAAATCTGTCATATTGACCATCTAAGAGATGAAAGACAACATTGAAAAGCATCTGTAAATATTCCTATTGCTATGCCCCAAGATCCTTGCTGTTGCACTATATGTGGACTTGTATGCAGGTCACTAGCAGGACTGAAGTGTTACATACAACACAAACATAAAAACTGAATGATGTCAGATCCTCATATGTCGAAATCCATGGGAACACCTATCATACATATGTAAGGAATGTCCATCATATATATATATATATATATATATATTATAAATTTACTTATTTAAAAATATGGTTCCATTGCTACACAGGAATTACCATGTTGCAAAAACAGAAGCTAAAAGTCCATAGTTCTGTCCCATTTTCAAGCGAATTTTGGAATAAATTATTTTGAAATTTACTGAGTTTTATAAGCACATATATTCATAATATTAGTTTCTATGGATACAGGGAAATTCAATCATTTTAACAAGGGACAATAGGGTATTCTTTTTCACTGACAATTATTGTATCAAAATATTAGTTACTTTCGAAAAGAAAGAGTAGGGGTGCCTTTTCAAACGAATGATGTTCAACGCATGTCGTCTGGTCTTTTTCAATGACAAAAGGGTTTTCAGAATTTATGGTTCACCATTAAGTTTAAATAAGTAAATTTATAATATTTATGCTCTGTGGATTTGCATTGAGCACTGTTTTGTAAAAAATAAAAATATTAATAAGAACACTGGATTATATATCTTATTTTCTTTTTTCTTTATTATAATATATATATATATATATATATATATATATATGAAATTGACAGTTGTGGAGGGGAAAGTGAGCAAAAATATTTACAATTATATACAAATGTCTATATTTTAGGTCTTGCATGGAGCACTTTTACATATATATATATATATATATATATATATATATATATATATATATATATATATATATATATATGTATATTTCTATATAAAAGTGGATACCTTAGATGGTCTGAAGATTGAAACAGACTGTCACGGCTTGGTGTTCAACTCAGTGTCTGCTTTTATATTTACATACACTCTATCACTGATATTGAGTACTTTTACCCATAAAGAGAACATAGCTTAAAATTATATTTTTATCAGATAGGTAGATATTTTATTCAATTCAGGTTGAAAACCAACAAAATATTTTGTTTAAGATTTCTACATAATTTTTCTTGGTATCAGACCATTTTTTCTGATTCCTGAGTAGAAACTGTTCTGAATATAAACTGTTTAAAAAATATAACAAATATATATATATATATATATATATATATATATATATATATATATATATATATATATATATATATATATATATATTCACTTGAGGATGAAATGGAACTAATGTTTTTAATTTAATTACAAAATTAAATTTGAAGTTTTCAGCTTCCATTTTTGAAACATGGTTAATACTGTGTAGCGAAAAATATTTTAAATCAGTTAATTTATAATATATATATATATATATATATATATATATATATATATATGGGGGTGTAATTGCTGATACCCCTGAAGATTGGATGAACAGGTCCACTTACAAAAATCTGGAGTTGAGATGTGGGGATCAATCAGCTAAGCAACAAACTTTTACTTATATTAATCATATATATATATATATATATATATATATATATAGCTGGCCACTCGTATTTGAGGATACCTGTATATCAACCCTTTGCAGGTTATTTAAAGCCAGAAAATATTTTTAGATTGTAAGAAAATTTTTGCAGATAGTAATGGTTTACTGATGCAAGTCTTACTAATTAACCCATAAATGGGGGAAGAAGAGATGAATTATTACCTTTCCCAAGGGTATTTGCATGTAAGTTAATATAACAAACTCAACAATAATTGAGACTCGACTCTTCAATTAACAATTCCATACCATTATCCATTACACCACCTGCACATCCAAGCTTACAGCACCTGGTATTCCCAAGCAGTCACCCATCTAGGTACTGAACAGGCTCAATGTTGCTTAACTTCGATGACCAGGAACTAGTGTTTCAACATGATGTGGCTGTAAGCCCAAAGGAATTGATGAGTGAATACCAAATGTTGTGGTTTTCAAGTAACAGTTTCTTTTAACATGTTCTTGCTCTCAATCTATATGTTTGGCATGGAAAATCAGGAAGAAAAGTATTGTCAGCGGTCAGGAATTGTTGCAATCTTTATTGATACAATAGAGTGATTACATGTATTATGAAAAGGCACTATGCATGATTTTATTGTAGGAATGCATTAAAAATCAGGAAGAAAGGTATTGTCTGTGGTTAGGAATTATTGTAATCTTTACTGAAAAAATAAGGTTAATACAAATGTATCACTAATGATTTTACTATAGGAATGCATTATAAATGATTTTACTATAGAAAACACTGAAAATCAAGACAAAATCGATTGTTAGTGGTTAGGAATATTGTAGTCACTTCTGGAAGAATAAGTATAATATAGGAATATATATGTATAATGTATATGTATTGTTAGTGGTCAAGAATTAAAGTAAACATTATTAGGGCTATTATATACACAAAGCACACATAAATTCCTAAGCACGAAGATTGTAAAGCAATAGTAAGAAAGAGGTTTTTGTTCTGGCAGTCTGAGACAATAACTCCCTAAAGAAGTAGAAAACCAAAAATAATTTTGTCATATAGCAAACCTACAATAGCAGCACTTAAAAAACAGATTATAGGAAAGTATTGAAAATCACATCTGTTTCCCATAGCATTGAAAATCACATCTGTTTCACATAGCATTGAAAATCACATCTGTTTCACATAGCAAACTTACAGTAGCAATATTTAAAAAACAGATTATAGGAAGGTATTGAAAATCACATCTGTTTCACACAGCAAACCTATAGTAGCAGTATTTAAAAAAACAGATTCTATATGGGTATATTTATATAAAAACACTTATACAGATATTTAGTAAAAACATTTGTACAGCTATTTACTAAAAACATTTATACAGCTATTTACTAAACTTAATCTGACATAATGGAATAAGTGAGCCAAGTTTAGACTCTAAATTACACAATTTGTGTTCACTTCACAATAATGCTATTAAAGCATGGATCTAATTTTTCTCTAAGTTTTAGGTAAATAGCAGAAGAGATTTTTTTTGTTGAAGCAATTCTTTTGGGATATTCAAATCAAGGCCAGGTCAGGGATTGTATCTTGCTATTGATACTGTATAACCCGGAATAATGTCATATATTACTTGGAGGAAAGATAGATATTGGGAAGTAACCCCTATTGCCTTGGAAGATATCATAAAGGGGAGTAACTCAACATGTTACTTTGATGAGCTAAGAGTACATGCATATACTGATTATAATAGCATTGTAAGAGAAAGATGTGTAGAGTGTTTGCTTAAGAGAATAAAATAGAGTGTAAGGGTAATGATAGGGTGAAAATGCATGGGTAGAAACTGAGAAAAGAGAGACTATTTATTGATAGAAGAAAGAAAGAAGAAAGAGAAGAGAAAGGAAAGACTATTGATCTGTATTGATTATTCAGCTGGTCATGCAATACTTGGCTAATGCATTTTGTTCATAGTTTATCCAAAGTAGAAGCAAAGAGTATAGAGAAAGGAATCTGAGAAAGACTCAGACATGTGAAGTGGGTTTGGGGGAGATGAAGGCATAATTGGTAAGGACAGATAATTGGTCTGAAGACAGAAAAAGTACACAAGAAAATAACAATAATAATAAATCTATGAAAGTAACATAATTAGGTTGGGTTATTTCATTAAACTCCTTATGCAAATTTAGACATTATATTAATAAAAATCTTGACAAATTATTACTGAAATAAAACACCATGTAATACTATATATATATATATATATATATATATATATATATATATATATACTACACTATTTACATTATAAGGACTATTGTCCTCATCCTTGTTTCGGGCATTGTATGCTGCGGCCTTCTTCAGGTGGCTGGAAGTTATCAGTTAATTCCCCTCTTCATGTTCTCCACTGCCTTAACTGATAACTAGCATCTATTAAACATGGCACATGGAACTAGAACAGTCTATCCCAGTGTGTGAAATAAACAGTTTAGTTAAACATTCCAACCACCTGAAGAAGTCCATAGTGTACAACGGTTGAAACTAAATATAAAAATAAATATGACAACAAAGATGAGGACAATTGTCCGAATAATATAAATAGTGTACATAATACCTCATCTCAGAAATATAGACAGATATATATTACACTATATAATACTATATATATATATATATATATATATATATATATATATATTACACTAAATAATACTATATACATATATATATATATATATATATATATATATATTACAAGTATAGTAACAATAATTTAAAATGCATTTGAGTAACATTTAATACCATGTTGCATTTTTACCACTTCTGGTTTTCTCCCTTACATTGTGAATGCTTATTTACAAAAAAATTCATAACTATAACAGATAAATTTTAAATTTTAAAATAATTATAACAGTGCGCATTCACACATGTTTACAAAAATCACTGTCACAACAATCAAAGTTACATTAAGTTTGTCTTTGCAATTCACCCCAGAGGGTGATATCAGAGGCGATCAAAAGTACTTGGGATAACAAAAAGTAAGGTGCCACCCTTCATGAATTTCAAATTAACATCTAGAAGCTAATTAGAGAACTAGAAAAGATTATTAAAAAAATAGACATAATTTGTCTATATTATTCAATGAAACATGATTAAATGAAGATATGCTGCCTATATATATATATATATATATATATATATATATATATTTTAACATGTCTAGTAATATTAAGCTTCACACTTTTATTTCTGTCATTAAATTTTGTACCTACAAAATAACTTTAAATATATATATATATATATATATATATATATATATATATTTGTAATGGAATGTCCCACACTCCCTATCACATATGTGGATTGACTATATTGGTAGATATATATATAGTGAGCACAGGATATACCTGGCAGACTTGCTTTGGGAATTACTAGCTTGCTAACTGATTCTCTGTCTTTCAGTAGTATATTCTCTTTTACAATAAACCTCACTTTCTTTCATCTACACCCATGTTGCTGTTTCTTTTCACTCAAATACCAACTTTGTCTGTTTGTAACCTTCTTTAAGGATACAACATATACATACATATATATATATATATATATATATATATATATATATATATATATATATATATATATATTATAAATTAATTGATTTAAAATATGTTTTTTTCACTACACAGTTCTTTCTTTTTATTTATATATATATATATATATATATATATATATATATATATATATATATAGATAGATATATATATATATAAGGTCTAATTAAAAAGTATCAAGACTGGTGCTATACATGGAAAACTACAAAATGTATCAACATTTAATCACCTTCAAAGTAGTCCCCTTCTAAAGCCATACACTTTATCCAGCATCATTTCCACTGATGGCACCATTCCTGGAACTCCTTTTTTGGAATAGTGAGCAGCTACCTGACTGCATTCTCTTGGATTTCTTCAATATCTTGAAATCTTTTTCCTTTCAAGGCAAGTCACAAGGAGTGAGATCTGGGGAATATGGTGGTTGTCAAACCTGGTGAATGTTATCCTTGGCCAAAAACAGCTGAACAAGCCATAATCATTCATGGAGTCCCTCTGGTCCAGTAAGACAACCACACTCTACACACTCTATTTTCAAGCACTGCAAAACAAAAGTTTCATCCTCTGGTGGACTATACGAAGACAAATGTAAATATTTTATTTTGTAACAAGTATATATAACCAGAAGTAAAAATGCTAGTTTTTTAGAAGTTTTAAATTTAAAAACACTCATAAATATACGTCAGGCTAACTGAAAGTCAAGGTAAACTATGGAGGATGCTAAGTGATGTAATTTAATGCCTAATAAATTATGGAAGATGCTAATGATGTAATTTAATAAATTAAATTGAGTAAATGTTGTTATTTTTTATAATGTAATTGTTATATATATTATTTAAGTTTGAGATTAATTTATTGTTGTAGGATACATATGGATAATAATGGGTACGTCCTCATTCACATAAATATAGTAGTAAATACTGTATGTTGGTCTGAAATTGGAGATTCATTGTGGAATTCACTTGACTCACTTGCAGCAGTTAACTACTACTTCTATGCACTGCTGGCGAATCTATATGTGTTGTTCTTGTCCTAAGTATTATCGTTCATCACCAACCTTCGTTTGGTTATTCTATTCAGTACCCTTTCCTAGGTTACAACATTTATGTATTATATATTTTTAATAATATGTTTGGAATTTTAGGTTTTTTTTTATTATTTAAAATTTTTATATTCATGTATGTTGACTTGAGAAAGGAGTATTTCTTTTAGGAAAGGAGATATTTGAAACAAATCCAGGGTGAAGATTTATATTTTGGTAAGATTTGATAATACCAAATCTTATTAAGAATATATATTTTTAGGTATATCTGAAGTTTTACACACACACACACACACACACACACACACACACAAATTTTAGTATGTTATTATGGATGATAACGACTACCAGTTGTCAAAATTTCAGCTTTTCACAGTTGTTATTTCTAACAAATATTAGGTTTTAAAATTTTGTCCCTTAGTTTTGGACGCTACTGTATATATATATTAGGCATGGTGCTACAGTAGTTTTTGATCTTAAATATACATTTTTTGTATATGTTTGTACTTATTTTCTGGAATGAGATCTTCATATAAGAATTATATAGAAATTTTAAAAGGTAAAGTTAAAAAGGGGGAAGATTAAGTTTTCGCATATATTTTGAAAATTAATGGCCATAATGATTTTAGACAACCAATACATCTCAGACTAATATCAATGTCACAGATTTGAGCCAAGAAAACAAAGTTAGTCTTTTGTTTTGTTTTCAATTCTAGCAAAAAAGTGAGGAAGCTGAAGTCCCCCCACTCCTCCCTATAGCACTGTGGATATATGCAGTCATGGGCT